ATATAACACACACACACACACACACATATATATATATATATATATATATATATATATATATATATATATATATATTATGAAAAAGAGCACGAGAAAAGGACAAAAGTGAAGTGGGAGTATGATGCAAGCAAAGCTTAGGGGACACTAGAAAGAAGCCCCTAAAAGTAATTAGGCTCTCAATTAAACTATTGCCAATAATCTTCTAGGTATAGTTTAATGGTCAAGGCTTTCCAAGTTAGAATTGCAATAGAAGAAAAATATATCCTTCTACTATACATTTCTTCCCTCTTTATGGAAAACATAAGCAATAAGAAACAAATGTGCCCCCAAAAAACTAAGGAATAAGAAAGAAAAATCTTTGGTACACCTGGAAACTTGATTCCACTAGCACTAAGTATTTGATCATAAATCTTGAACATGCATATGCTAATCTTGGCCCATGTATTTGATTTTCCTCTTATAGGAGTAATAATGATGTAAGTGACACCTTTTTTCTGTTTGTCATTCCATCAATTCTTGCCCTGTCACTACTACAATACATAATCAGAGGTTGTACTATAATAAACCTTAAACTCAATTTAGATTCTGTACAGGAAAAGCTATTCTCCCCGTTTCAATTTAGATGATGTAATTTGTCTTAGGCACAAAATTTTAAAAAAAAAAAGACTTTTGAAATATGTGGTGCTAAAAACTTAGGGACAAAAGCTTTATAGAGCCATGATATTTATGTGACAATATTATTTTCTCATTAAAGATAAAGCGGATAAAGTACAAAATTTAAAGTTAAATGTTTTTCAAAATATAGAAATGTGTCATTCTTTTATAAACAAATTAATAAGAAAAATGTGTTATTTAAATTGAAATGGAGGGAGCATTAACTTTTGGATACTAATCACGTGTCAAATATTTTGTCCTGTGTAATAAGAGAATATGACTAAATAAAATCTTTATCTTAGCAAAACTGTGAGCTTGTACTGCTTGTTGTTTTAGCTGAAGTTTGAGATGCAGCAGGTTTGTGTCGTATCCAAAATTATGCCAGCAACTATAAGAGGCAATGTAGACAGAAAAAGCAAAGAAATGGCAGCCAGAGCCCAGAGTGTTTGGTCACAAAAATGCAATTGAAACAGAGAATTCCCATGCGCTCTATGTCTTTAGTGAAAGCACAGAGCAAACCAGTAGCGCTCAGCATAGCCTAGTATAGATTGCTAGTAAAAGATGAAAGATTGAGACCTTTTTCGTTCTTTGATATTTTTTTGGGTCAAACAACAAAACCAAACATGGCAAGTTTACCGGACATAGTCCAAACTATTCTAAGGCTCTTGTAAGGTACTCACTAAATTTATACGGAAAAAGACAAATGGTGACTAAGATAAGAACTTTGGTTGTCTTAATTTTTGGTTAGGGTCCCTAAATTAGGGGCCTCTGGATGTAATTTACTTCAACTTATTAACAAGTCCAAACTGCTCCTTGGATCTCATCGGAAATATTTGATGCTCCTTAGGGGCTTCTTTTGCGACTTGAAGTCACCGAATGAATTGCCAAATAAATAAATTAAACTCGAACGCAGTTGTCGCTCTGTGACGATATGGACTCAACTCACTCCTACACACTCTGAGGGTACCATAGCATGTCAGGAAAAAATGGAGACATATGAGATGTAATCACTCCCTTGATTAGGGGTTGTGTCGCCCTGCCTTTCGATCGATGCACCTCGCATATGGGAAGCAAGAGGGCGCTTATGCCCCGACGGTAGGGCCTTATTGGGAAGGGCCCAGCCCAAGTGCACTTCTATATCGACTAAATCACTTTTTTGATCTAGTCGGTTACAAGCTGATCTAAGTCAAAGTGTAGAATGTCTAAAAGTATTAACTGATAGAGTTGTTTCACGA